ATCTCCTTTATTTGTTCAAATTATTAAAAATCCGAGAAAGTTTCATCAACCGTTTGGAAATCCCAATTTTCTCGTTTTTCCGACGGTGATGGTCTTAAAATTTTCAAAGAAAGAATTTGTGTTCCGGCAAAACAAAGAGATAAAAGAATTTAATTCTCGGCGAAGCTTCACAAACCCCCTACTCTTTCCACCTGGGTGAAACAAAAATGTACCAAGACGTGAAAAAATTATATTGTGGCCCGGAATGAAGAAAGACATAGCCAAGTTTTTTCCGATGCCTAGTTTGTCAACAAGTCAAGACGGAACACCAACGGCCCGGCGGACTTCTTCAACCTATCCTCATACCCGAATGGAAGTGGGAAAGAGTACCCATGGGCGCCCATCTTGTGCGTTCAGCTCATAAATTTCGAAAATAAAAAAGCCCGTACAATTCGATTTGTAGGGGATTTTAACATGAAATTGGTTCCATAATCGGCATGGGCAATGCATATTATACATACAATAGTCGAAATTACCTCAAAAAATCGAAGCCCAATCGTTCTTGAAGCTTGAATTCGAAATTTCGATTTTTTTTTTTTTTTTTGCTATTTGCGGTTTTGTGGGTTTTTTAGTTTTAGAGAGAGAAAGAATTTTTTTTATGAACCGCAAATAGCAAATACGAAACCGAAAATAGCATTTCACATGAAAGAAAATAGGGGCGGCTTAAAAACGGCTTGCATTGGTCGCGTTGGCTAAAGGGAAAGAAGAAAGAACCTTTAGGCTGCCATGCATATAAGGGGCTGCATCTGAAATAAACAGATGTTCTGCATATGCATCTGCAATAGGCAATTCATCGAAAATGAAATGTTATGTAACGAAAAATTCAGATTTGTTAACACAAATGAAAGACCTGAATATGTAATTATACTACTGGCATACAGAAAATTGAACTAGAAAAAAATTTAATACAACCATTTACAAATACCTTCTCCTTGAATATGTACGTTCATCAAGGAAATATAACTATTTAGATGGGCAAAAAAAAAAGCAGAAAAGCGAAGAGAATAAATGCATTATCCAAAAAAATTAAACATTATTTTGTTTAAAAACGTATTTTAACAGGTATAATTATGTTCGAAATGATTTTGTCTGGGTCCCAACTAATCAATGTTTTAAAAAAAAGATGGTGTCTCCTTAGAAGTATAAGATTTAAAAAGAAATCTATCATTAGATGTCAAATTATATTGCCATGAAAATTTTGACTTAATCCATCGGCACTCTCGTGGATTTCCCAATTAGCGATGTTCATCGAAACAACACCTTGAGTATCTTGCTTAATGATATCATGCAGCGAGATTGGAAACATGGTTGGGAAGAAGTTGAGAACAAACGTCTCGTAGAGTGAAACAAAATTTTTGAAAAACTGCAGTTAATTTAACTCTTACTTGAAATTTCGGGCACCGTCAGCAGCGGCTTCCACTGGCAAACAATGTGCAGCTGCTCCACTCCCACTCTGGATGAATTTTGTTGATTTATCTGCCGGCGGAATTTTTATATCTTCAATTTTCTGGGAACTAATAATACTCGAAAGATTTCTGTGAGCGATTGAAGGAAAAATTATAATATAATTCGGGTTAACGTACATATGCGGCATGAATTTGGATATGAGAAGTTATAAGACTGCTGAAAAATATTGTTGTGGATCGTGTGTTAATGTAGTTGAGGGGACTATGTACTGTGCAGATAAGTTCAGGGGAGATGAAACAGTGTTTTATCTTTTCGTACCCATATATATATATATAATATATAGGGGCGGACCCAGGGGGTTTTCTTGGGGGGCCGCAAATTTAGGGGTACTTTAAGAGAGAATTTATTTTTTTATTTTTAGGGACTAAAGCGTACAAAATTAAAAGTTTGGGAAGGCGAAAGTGTATTAACTAATACATAAATACCCAAAAAAAACGCTTAAAAATAAAATCTTGGGGGGCGGGGACCACCCCAGCCATAGGCATGATTACGTGCCTATATATATATATATATATATATATATATATATATATATATATATATATATATATATATTCTCGAAGAAAATGATTTTTGGAAAAATACATACTTTCTTGGTATTTAAATTCTTAAAAATTAGATAGTGTAAAATAATTTCCGAATCTTCGAACTTGGTCGGTTAGGAGCCTTAGAATTAAATTTGAAATTTTTGTGAAGCCATTTGCTATTATTTCGATATATTAGTTGTGCATGTGCCATAAAAGAAGTATTTATGCTTAATCATAGTACTTTAAGATTCTTGGCAAATTATGAAACATGGAATTTATTGCATGGATCTGTAGCTGAGTTATGTTTAAGGGGCTGTAATATTTTTTGTGGTAATAAATTTGTGTTTAAAAGTTGGAGAAATCCCATTAGTGAAAGGATAAATGTGTTCATATTTTATGAGCATGATTTGCTTGTTTCATGCTCTTGTAAATGATGTTTTACGATTACATGGGTTGAGTGTATGCTCAGTGTGTGCCATGTGTGTGTTGTGATGTGTATGTGAGTTATGATAATTGTGGTTATATGATTTATGCTTGGACGTATAACTCTCTCTCTCTCTCTCTCTCTCTCTATATATATATATATATATATATATATATATATATATATATATATATATATATATATATATATATATTACCTTATGCTTGAAGTTTCGTGGGTTACTCGCTGATTAATATTTGTGTTTTCATATGGTTATTTGAACTTATGTTATGGGTCGAAATTATGTGGTATCATTGTCATGCTTAAAATAGTTTTGGAAAAGTTTGGAAGAATTAACGGAATGCTTGGTTGAATTAGTCGTGATATGAGGGACCGGTAGTCCAACAACAAATACTATAGTAAACGAGATGGTTTTATTCCATCAAAAGAAGGGGCTCACTATAATATGCTTATTATTCAAGTAAAGAAACTAATTTTCTATGCATTCGGACAACAAAAAATGGTTTTCATCATGCATTTGCACATATGGGTATTTTGGTCTTTCTTGACTCTTGATTTGATTATACGGCTAATTATATGATTAAGTGTTGGTAATTGCCTATATGCGATTAATGTGAATGTACGGATATTATTGGCGTGATGCTTATATGTATATACATGCGATTAATGTGAATGTACGGATATTATTGGCGTGATGCTTATATGTATATACGTATATAATTATGTAAAATCTATTTTAAATCCTCTTTATTTATTCGAATTTCTTACTGCGCTTAATAGCTCATATAGTCATTTTAATTGCAGGTAGTAGTAGTAATCCTTCACCGGAATGGACCGAGTAGTGGATCGTAGTGTTGCCCGAAGTTTTTGATACTTGAAAATACGAGGGGTCTATAAATTATGCTAGTATTATTTTGGTGATGTAATCTAAAGACTACTTTCCTTTCCATTTTAATTATTAGAATATTTCCTCATTAGAGAAAATGGACTCTATCGGTACGGATCTCTTTTCGGAACTTTAAAGTATGTTGATTCGTTTATATGAAATTTCTAGTAGTTCCATTTTCGCTTTTATTTCACCAAATTGTTATCCAAAAACTCTGATTTTTATTTGAACCTCTTTTAAGAATAAATACGGCTTTCACAACAAAGTGTAGCACTCAGAAATCTCTCCTTTTATTAGAATAGAACTTTCAATTTCTATAAAAGAAGATTTAGGAAAAAGAGTAATTAGTACTGCTTCTTATTTTACTCTTAAAACAAATTTAAGACTTGAAATCTTATAAAAATGTTTAAAATTTTCAAGTTCACCTTATGATATAAGTAAGCTAAAAACAAAAGGATCTTTCTTAAAATAAATGCTCGCGCTAAACAATTCCGTTAAACCTTGTTCGGTTTATCGCCCTTTCAGAAGAGGGGGAAGATTTAAGTTGTTTGATCGGTTTGATGTTAAGTCGTTTGATGGGTTTTCTTAGGGTTTTAAGCTTTCTGCACAAAATGTACTCGTCAACGCTATGAATGCCCAAATTCTAATATTTCTCGACTACATTTATTGAAGTCCCTTATATCATAAGGAGTAGGCTATTACCTCCAATCTTCTCCTCTGTTCTCAAAACAACATAGAAATCCTTAAGAACCGACCAAGACTCTCTCAAGTTGTGACTATAATCAAGCAAAGACTTCCACAATGACTTTCTCTAAGAATTGGAGTACATAATAAATACAAAAAACTCACATGAAATTGTAATGCATAA